TGCAGTTTATTTACTTTAAAAATCTTGGTGCCAAAAGTGTTTGCAAATATAGCTCTTAAAGAATCGATAACTGATATTTTGACAATGGAGTTCACCTTTCTGGGAAATAATAATAAAAGGGCCTTCATTGATACAAATTATGGCTCTTAACCCTTAACTAGTCGCGCAGGTGCACTGAGTGCTCCGTTTTTATTAAAACCTCTATAACTTTTTGTCGTTTTCTTGGAATTAAATGCCCTTTCCATGTAACCTATGACTGATGTGTCCACCATGCACTGTCGACGGCATATTCAGTTTAAACTACTAATTTCAAAGTTATGGACAGAAAACTTGAGATTGATTTAGAAATACTTTACTAAAACGTAACTAAATTTTAATTTTTGCAATGTCTAAACAACAAAATATGGAATTTAAAACCTAATGGTTTTTAAGGTATACATTTTTATAAGAATACACAAATAAAAATAGAACGCCATTCGGTAGGACCACGCCTACCAATCCACCGATTTGGGTAACTGTTATCAAGCCATTGTCTAACATCCCTAAAATAATGTGGGGGCGCTCCATCCTGCTGAAATATGACTTCTCTGTCAAATTCATCAGGATAGGTATTGATTATTTCCTCAATCATTGGTTGAATTTGGGTTTGAAGCATGTTAAGATACAAAATACCTGTCAAATTTTGTTCCAAAAAGATGGGGCCTACGATGTGGTTTCCCAGTATTCCCGCCCATACATTAAGTTTTTGCAGATACTGGGTGTGACCTTCTCGAAAAAAATGTGGATTAACATATGACCAGTAGCGTACATTTTGTCTATTAACAGTACCATTTAGAAAAAAAGTAGATTCATCACTAAAGCAAATTGAACTTATGTAAAGTGGATTTTGTGCTATGCGCTCACGCATAAGTTCACAAAATTGCATTCGGTGATCTGGGTCATCTTCAGTTAGTTGGTGGAGTATTTGAAGCTTGTATACATCCCCTATAGGGATAAAATTTGTTCTTCTTGAAATATTTCCTAACAGTTGTTTGAGATACAACACAGACCTGCAACTGCGGTCGTCGATTGTTGTAGAATATTGACAACCGAACCAACTATTTGCACCTGTTTCTCTTCGAAAATTAATTTCCTTCCCGATCCTTTCTGCCTACCCACACTTCCATTTGTTTGAAATTTTGTCACCAATTCCCGTAGATATTTCCTGCAAATTGGTTTTTTGCGTACCTTTCATTAAACACCCTTTCTGTTTCGTGCAAATTGCGCCCCATTTCATCATAAATAAAAATAGCCTCCGTTTTTTCTTCTAATGGGCGATGTCGAACCATTTTACATTCAAATATTAATTTAAATTGCATGAACATTAACAATTTAACACTAAAGATATTAATTATTTTATTTTTGTATCTTCTTAAAAACAGGATATTGGTATGGGTATTTAAAACAAAAAAGTTGGCAAAAAACGCACAATTATTGCACTGGTTTGCAATAATTTGCACTCTGCGAAAATGTGAGTAGAAGCGACAAAAACGCTTAATAACTAAGCTATGGTTAAACGAATTTAAAAAACAAAAAAATTGTTAAATAGAGAATTAAAATACCTTTTAAATGGGGTACCACAAGCACCCCCTTTCCATTTGAAATTTTTAAGTTGATACTGCCCTCTTGGCACTTGTTCGGAAAAAAATTTCATACTGACGTAAAAAAATTGTAAACACAATATAGTTTACCCTGGGCTTTAACCGACATCGATGAATTTTGGTTCGTGGGGATCTTTTATGATGTACTCCAAGATTCCCAAGTTTGAACAAAATCGATTGACCTCTACCGAGAAATTATTCGAAATGTAATGGAATTACTCATATATATACATATATATATATATATATGTATATATATATATATATGTATATATATGAGTAATTCCATTACATTTCGAATAATTTCTCGGTAGAGGTCAATCGATTTTGTTCAAACTTGGGAATCTTGGAGTACATCATAAAAGATCCCCACGAACCAAAATTCAACCCTCTAAGTGCCATAGGTCACGAAAAAAGACTATTTAAAGGACTAAAATTCACTATTTTTAGCTTATTTTTGAAAATTTGACTCTCAGTAACTTTAAGCCGGAATTAAATTATTTGTATCAGGTTTTGTTTATTATATCTTTTAGTATGTATAAAAAAATAATTTAGACCTCTAGACCATTTGACCTTTATTTGGGACGTAGTTAAAAAAAATAAAAATTTCAATAAAATGACCATTTTTAAATGGCCGCCAAAAATTAAATTTTTAACTGATCTGCTCTCGCTATAGTTCATTTTTTTCGTTGATGTATGCTCTTCAAGCGAGTAACTCAAAAAACTTTATTTGCCTGCAAGGATCGCTAATATTGCTTTTCAAAGTTGGTGTTTTTAAAAAAATTGCAAACTTTGACCCCCCAGTACAGATTTCTATTAACTCCGAATCGCACAAAAATTTAGGAGGACCTAGTGTTCTATGTCTAGAATAAGCACTCGAAGGGATTTTCTTGGCCCGAACTTCTATGATTATTTATAATTAATTAAACATAAGTAAAATCGACCAAAATTTTAATAGTTAAATTTAATAATAAAACTGCTTTTTTGTCTCATTGTTTATTGCTTTCATCCGAATACTACAATATTAAAATATTATGGACACGTCAATACTCAAAAAAACGTCTTTTCAAAATAATTTTAATTTTTCAGTACTCCACATTGATCTATGATGATGCATTTTCTAATAAATCGTCGAAAGGTCAATTTGAGGATGCTGTCTAACTAGGGTTTTAAAATTTCCTGAAAAATTGAACCGGCGGAAAAAACCGTTTTTTTCGGGAAAAAAATAAAAAATTGACATTTGCATTTTTTTTATTTTATTCAAAGGGTAATAGAAAAAAAATGCCAGTCAATTATCCAAAAATGTCCAAATTTTTACTAATATTCGTACACTAATATCCAGAACAAAGTGAATATCCGACTCTGATTATGATCATATAATATTATAATTATAATATTTAATTTAATTCAGTAAGGATATTCTACCGGGCCTAAAAAAAACATATTTGGTGCTGTATTAACACAATTATTATTTGAACATCGATTTATAAAATTATAATTCTGTAATTTTAGTTCATATATCATTCAATATTGATATTTTCAATGACCCCCTTTTGCAAAAAGGGCCCAACCGATAATATATTTAACGTTTACGTTTATGTTATTAAAAAAAACGCTGCAGTTAATTTGAGTGTAGTACGGGTCTGAGTATATATTCGAGGAAGCGTGCTCGAAATGTGTAGCGTATTCGAAAAAGTTTTCCGGGAAATTTTTCAAGGAAAAAAATCAAAATAATTCATAGAATCTGTTTATTTAAAATCGAAGAATATTGCAGTATATAATTTAGTGCGCAAATATTTAATTGTCATTGTTTACTTATAAGTAGGTGCTAATATTTTAACACTATTAGTCTATACTATTATGTATCATTTTAATTGCGTACTTTGTTCTAGAAATCACTTAGCAAAATATATTGTCATGAAGAAGACTTCAACATTAAAGTAACTTCATACAATTTTTTTGCGACAAGTCACGGGAAATGGCTTTGTGATGCAATTGGTGGGTTTATTAAAAGATTAGTTATGCGATATTGTCTACGAGCTCCACCAGAAAAACAAATTACAACTCCTTTACAAATGTATGAATACGTCGTACAAAACTGCGAAAGTATAAGGTATAAAAAAATAACAACTCTGGGAAATTTTTTTGTAGTTTTACGTTCAATTAAGTAGTTGCGATTTTCAGTTAAGCAAAATTAAGCACAGATTAAAGTTATTTAAATCTATATTAGGAAACTGATTTATTTGATAACTAAACATTTTACATAAGCTTAACTGAAAAAAATACCGAGCCATCTATTAACTGTAATTTAGATTTAAAAAATCTTTAGTTGTATCTAATTACAATTTCCAAATAATTCAACTGAAACTTGTAGTTCTAATCAACTGTATCTCTCATTTTCTATGTATAGAAGTCAGTTATATTAATTGTGTTTCTTAGTAAGTTTTAACTGTACCTTCCTTAAAAGTAAATTACATATATATTTTTTAATTTTACATATACTCGTATTTTAACTTTGATCACAATAACGGAGTACCTATATAAAATACTTTCAAGTAATGTATTCTTGATTTACTGATGCTGCTTAACTGAAATATTAACTGTTTAAGTTACTGACATCTTTCTATTTTACAAGTAATGTTTTTCTGATTTTTATTCTCCCTTGTGTATAACTTTCGTTTATTCTTAACAACCTTCTTACATTTTCTTTGGATCTGACGATTCGGGTTCGAATCCCAGTTAACGCAAAAAATTATTTGCCCTATCTTTTCTAAAATTAATACCTAATCACTTATAATAATGATAATTTTTCGAAAAAATTTAATAACAAATTTCGAAAGTATTACGTTGCTTTATGTTCCCTTAAGCAAAATACTTGAGCAAGTTAATAAATCGTGACAATTTAAAGAATAACTATATTTTAAAAGTCAAAACCGAAATAAATAAAGAGGTATTCCATAGCAACGATCCTAACAGAGTGGAAACAACCATCGTAACATTTTAAAATTCCAAAATGTTTGTTTATCTTTTCAAAATTCACTAGATAAAATATACCTGTAACTCTCAGATAAAATTTCACATTTTATATGTAAAGCACATATTAACTTATCTGAAAATTACAAAAATTTTTAAATGAATCAGGTATTTAATTATCTGCAGATTACAGTTAAATATACGCAAATTACAGTTAAATGAACTACCGTAAATTCTCAAAAGATGCCGTTTCAACGGATGTGTTGTTCTTATGGGTTAATTTCGGCAATTTCGGCGTCCTTAAATCAGTTAGTTTTCATTTTCGCAAGGAGAAAGAATGCAAATGTTATCAAGAAGTGAAAAGTGTTTTAATGTTTCGAAGTGATAATGGCCGATGAACAAGTGAAAGACATTTTGTACCAATTTGACATGGTAGACCTATCTTTGAAGGTAAGCCACATGTTTTTCATTACTACAATTTAGTCGCCTTATTAAGTAGATGTTACATTCATCTAAGCTAAGCTAACCTTTTTTATTCATTTTTACCTTTTGCTTTTTTTTAGCCGAATTTGTAACAATAGAGGCATTTTCTAAATTGAAAGAGAGAGATATCGAACTGCTGATAACTGGTGTGGGGCGCAGGGTACTTTTTCGAGAAAAATGGAACGCTTGGCTAAAAAATAATGGCAAAAGCGGGAGTGTTAGTATTTGCAATTTTTTATTGTTTTAATTTTTTTCTTTGTCTCTTTTTCTTTTTTCCTTTCTCTGTGTCTCTTTTTCTTTTTTCCTTTCTCTGTGTCTCATTCTTATATTTCTATTTTACAGTATTTCTCTCTTTCAATACTGTATATATACAGAATTGGACATTTCTCTACGCTCCATAGGCAAATACATGCATGCTGAGAAATGTTATTTTGGGTGGCCAGTTTTGAAATGAAAGCCCTCTATATATATATATCTAAATATCACTCACTCACTCATATATCCTTTATACATATATATTTTCTATTCTATACTCTATAAAGTAAAATATGTAAATATACTAATAAATAACCTAATATGTAATACTAAATAGTAAAAATACTAATATGTGAATTTTATCTAGGAGGAAGAAAATAGAAGTCAAAGTGACAGGGAGTTTCGCGCTTCTACGAAAGGTGATTTTGTAAGTATTGCAAATTTTACTTTCTCTACATACCATACGGTTACTTTCGAACGGGACACGCCTCCTAACTCCGACCTTCTCTATTCCTCACTATTAGGGTGATTCAAAAAAAGCCTTTTTTTAAAAATGAACCCGCACTGGCCTAAATTATAAAGATTACATTAAAACTAAAATATTGATACCAAAAAATCCAAATTCGATGAATATTTAGAGGTCGCTCAAATTAATTTTCGTATTTTTGCACATTCGAGCCGCGAAATTTTTACTGCACAAAATAGTAAATAACTTCGTTAGTTTTTAATCGATATTATTAAAAATTTAAGGGTTACCTAGTTTTTTAATACCCTCTGAGACAATGTATTGAACTTTACAGAAAAATATTTTTTTTTCATGAAAAAAAATAATTTATTAATAAAAACGTATCATCTTATAAAATAAGCAACAATTGGAATCGCACTATGATGGTACCGTAAAAAAACTAAGAAAATAACACTTAAATTATTTAGTATACAGAAAACCTGCCGAAAGAAATATTTTATTTGATTTATATAAAATATAACCTAAAAATAATTAAGTAATTTAGATTTTTTCCATTTTCAAACGATTTTATAAATAATTTATATCCGTTTTATTAATTATGACGTATTTTTATAATATTTCTTTATTTTTGATACCATATTTAATTAATTACACTAGGTAGTTATTAAATTAGGTCCTTTTTACAACTAAAATAAAATAACGTTAACTACAAAATTATTCACTCCATTAAGCAAAAATTTAAATTTTATTAAAATTATTCATATACAACAATTCTCAAATTTTGATACCAAAATTATTTGATTCTGTCTAGAAGTTGCTAAATTGACATACCACAATAATAATTATTATTCTTAAATTTTGATAGTAGGACCTACTACCAGGTAGTTGATAAATTATATAAATATAAATATATATATATACATTAGGGTGCTTCAAAAAAATTTTCGCTCTTACCCTCTCAAATATTTTTATTTAATATAAAGAAAATCCTCACCAAATATGAGCGTTCCAGCTCAACTCTAAGAGGTCGATGTTTTTATTTTAGTTTCCCATTGAATTAACATGGGAAAAAATAATTTTATATTTGGAATTTTATACCTCTGTATCAAAGTAACTTATGGCAATGATTATTGCAGTTTCTTATATAAAATTTAACGCTCTACAAAAAGGGTCTCTTTATTTTTCGATAAATTGATTTCTTCTAGAGTTATTCGAGGTCAAAGTTTGATTAACATCAAATTTTCTGTTTTTTTTTTAATTTTTTGGTAAAATTAGCAGACTTGAGGTGGAAGTTTGATTAACATGGGGCACCCCATTTTGCCCCCCCCCGCTGCCTTGTTTTGCCCCCTTTCACCTCCCGTCTGCTAATTATACCATAAAATTAAAAAAAAAAACAGAAAATTTATTTGTTAATCAAACTTTGACCTCGAATAACTCTAGAAGAAATCAATTTATCGAAAAATAATAAGAGACCTTTTTTGTAGAGCGTTAAATTTTATATAAGAAACTGCAATGATTATTGCCATAAGTTACTTTGATACAGAGGTATAAAATTCCAAACATAAATTAATTTTTTCCCATGTTAATTCAATGGGAAACTAAAATAAAAACAGCGACCTCTTAGAGTTGAGCTGGAACGCTCATATTTGGTGAGGATTTTCTTTATATTAAATAAAAACATTTGAGAGGGTAAGAGCGAAAATTTTTTTGAAGCACCCTAATGTATATATATATATATTTATATTTATATAATTTATCAACTACCTGGTAGTAGGTCCTACTATCAAAATTTAAGAATAATAATTATTATTGTGGTATGTCAATTTAGCAACTTCTAGACAGAATCAAATAATTTTGGTATCAAAATTTGAGAATTGTTGTATGTGAATAATTTTAATAAAATTTAAATTTCTGCTTAATGGAGTGAATAATTTTGTAGTTAACGTTATTTTATTTTAGTTGTAAAAAGGACCTAATTTAATAACTACCTAGTGTAATTAATTAAATATGGTATCAAAAATAAAGAAATATTATAAAAATACGTCATAATTAATAAAACGGATATAAATTATTTATAAAATCGTTTAAAAATGGAAAAAATCTAAATTACTTAATTATTTTTAGGTTATATTTTATATAAATCAAATAAAATATTTCTTTCGGCAGGTTTTCTGTATACTAAATAATTTAAGTGTTATTTTCTTAGTTTTTTTACGGTACCATCATAGTGCGATTCCAATTGTTGCTTATTTTATAAGATGATACGTTTTTATTAACAAATTATTTTTTTTCATGAAAAAAAAATATTTTTCTGTAAAGTTCAATACATTGTCTCAGAGGGTATTAAAAAATAGGTAATCCTTAAATTTTTAATAATATCGATTAAAAACTAACGGAGTTATTTACTATTTTGTGCAGTAAAAATTTCGCGGCTCGAATGTGCAAAAATACGAAAATTGATTTGAGCGACCTCTAAATATTCATCGAATTTGGATTTTTTGGTATCAATATTTTAGTTTTAATGTAATCTTTATAATTTAGGCCAGTGCGGGTTCATTTTTAAAAAAAGGCTTTTTTTGAATCACCCTACTCACTATCTTATATTTCTATTGAGAGTCTCTTTCTAAAAAGTGTCCCGTTCGAAAGTAATCGCCTGGTATACAGTGAATACCAAAAAGAACCTCTGTGGGTGAAAATGTTTACACAACGTTTTTTAGTGATCGATAGTATCACACAAAGACCATATTTGAAGAAAAATCACACATGATATGTAATTTTTGGAATTCATTTTGATATGCTTGTTATTTGTTAGTTTTGTTTCAAACGCTAGAGAATCTTCTTTCTTTTTCTCAGTGTAGTAGAGTCTTGAAAAAGACCCAATTGGGACGTGTTCTACTGGAGAAACATAAACAAACACCTCGAGTAGCAAATGATCGCCATCAAGTCGCCCTAAAAGTTCTCGAAGCCCTTCTTGAAGAAGACCCCGCTAGGGGCATAAAGCGGGTTGAATTTCAGGATTTAGCTGAGGAATTAGCTACTCTTTTTCCGGGCACTGAGCCGAACGCATGGTTCATTCCATATAGGCCCAAGACGGAACAAATAAAGCAAAGAAATGCTGGTGGGCCGCTTTACCATTCGTATAACTGGTTGAGAAAACAGTTTCGTACTGAAGGGATATTATCCCCATCAAGCAGGAGCTCTTCCAGTAGATCATCGAAACAAGCAGGAACATCTTTGCATCAAGTGCAAAAAGACGATTACCCTCTTGAAGGTACAAGAAATTGTTAATTTTGGTTTGCGCATGTCTTTATTTTTACTTTTTATTTCAGTTCCGGATAAATTTTTAGAAGACATTTCATTTTTGGAGAGGTCCACCCACCCGTGGAAAGTAGTGGAAGCCTCCTGGAAGAGAACTTTCCAAATCAGACAAAAAATTCTGAAGTCGGAATCGACTTTCGTCCCCTACTTCCAGCGATTTAAATCGCTTAATTGCAATCAGGGCTATCGTTTGGTAAGTGTCAAAGCTAGGTATACGAGTGAATAACATCTAATAATAAATTATTATTCGAATATATTAATAATAACAATTATTGTTGTGTAACTAAATATTTCTTCAAGTAGTTTATCACTTTTTTTCTTTCAGATTCTAAACGATTTTAACGAATTATATTCCTCTGCGGCTTCACCATCTTTGTTCCATAACCAGCTGTATAGTTTATCGGAAAGGATCATAAAAACTTCTGTAGACAAAGTGAAACATTTATCTTCGAAAAACGAAAAAATATTATATGGAGATATCTTGGAAAAACTACAAGGTAATTGGTTTTGTGAGTTAGAAGTGAACGTTGTTATTAAATTTAAACAATCTGGAGAATTATAAAATTGATATCATAAATCTTATTTTTTATATACTTATATCGTTTCTTTTATTTCAGGTGAACCTGTAAGTGACAGAGAAAGGAAAGATTTACTCCTTTTATTGTTTCCTTTAATCTGTCCTCATCCCGGCAACGTCATTAAACAAGTGAACAAGAAGAAATTTAGCAAAGCGTCATACGAGGAGATAAGAAGCACGTTTGCCAAATTCATACCCGAAGAGAAAGACCTTCAAGAAACCCTATGTTTATTAAGGAATAGAGCATTGACTTCTGGTGAGACTATTCAACCATTCATCATTTATACAGGTAGCCAATTAAATGTAAAAAGTGCTTGGGTTATTGTGGATCAAATATTTTATAAATTTAACTCCTTATGTGAGGCAGTAGATTGCACCCTTAAAATATTTTTTGCATTAGATGCTTGTTATCCCGCCCCTGCCAAAACAGTTTGGGGGGTACTAGCTAAAATACTTTTAAACATCGGAGAAGTAGGCGGAAGCGCAGGTCAGTTTGTTATTGATCTACAAACAAAGTTGTCGAAAGTGGTATCTGAACCTCCTCCTCCTTCTCCTCCGACCTCTGAACCTTCTTCTATAGCTCCTTCTCAAGTATCTTATGCAACTCATTCTCAACCTACTGTGCTAGATTCTGATCCATTCCTTTCAGTCGTCGATTCGAGCATAAGTGAACCAAGAAATCCACTATCCCAAAACTTTCTTCCTTTAAGCGAGTCTTTGTTGGAACCACTTTACAATGAACATTTAATGGATATTAGTGGTTACAAAGAATATATAGATCTTTAACAAGATGGACGTGTGTGGCCATTGTAGAAAGGGCTTTTCTTCCCCAGTTAAACTAATAAATCATATTAGAAAGTTTTGCAATGAATCAACTTTCAAATGCGGGAATAATAATTGCAACCGTGAATACAGTTCTGCTTTCGGTTTTCGTAGACACCTACGAAACTTTATGCAACAACAACAAAACCAGCTAATTGAGCAAGCTTGTGAACCTTTTATGGTTGAACAAGTTGATGATCTTGTTGTAGCATCCACTTCCCAGGTAGATATAAATGTAGACGTAGATCATCTCCCAAGCAACACACTCATTTGCATAATCGTTTAATAAACGTATAATAAACCATTTAATCGTATATTTTTGGTTTTGGTATAATTATTTAACATATATTAAGCGTTTTTTATAAACGTACATATTTCAGTCGTATATTCTACGTACTTGATATACTATTTTAAAATCATAAAATTATCAATTTAATATATAAATTTATATTAATCACCCAATCTATATATATATTATAAAAACAACTATAAAGCATGTTTATGAAATTGGAATTATTTACCCTTATCAAATTTGTTTACATTCAAGTGTTTTGTAAACGTTTTTATATATATATATTTTTATGTAAGCTCAACGTCTAAAAATACGAGAAATCTACGTCTATAAATTTTGTTGTTGTTGTAAGCCAAGTAATATTTAAATGTATTTATCACCGCTAACAAATTTGTTAGCGATAGAAATAATGTTTATGTCATATATTAGCTGGATATTTGATTTTGTACCTAAATAAAAATAAAGTTGTCTATCGTTTTCCTAAAAATAAACGTTACTTATAGGTACCAATAATTTTCTACGTGGTTCAGTAACTGAACTTCAGTTTTCATAATACTTGTATACATATGTTCATGGTTCGCACTGTTTCGGTATTACTCGTAACTAAGACGATTGTTTAAACCAATAGGCGCGTGTCACGTGATCATTCCTTCTAGACGCTTCGTTTTGCCGTTACCGGTCACATGTGTCCTGTGTTGATAATGGCTGCCGTATAAGTTATGTTTACTGTTTACTGTGAGTGGATAGCGAATAATTTATTGTATTGTTTGGTGGGAATACAGCTAATAAAGTAAGTATATACCTACTTTAATTGAAATTTCAGATTACTTAATTTGCACCAAATAACTAATAGGTAATTGGTGTTTTTATTTGACGAAGCCGGCAAAAATCCGTAACCTTTGCAGAAGTTTTAACCATGCGACATATTCGTTTTGCATTAAATTAGATGGTTTATTTTTGGATTAGGTTAACATCACTTTAGAATTTTTAAAATAATCAATATTTTTTATTTTTTTAAAGATCTATTATTGGTTTATGGTATACTATTTATAAACGTACATTATAACCACTTATTTATTATATTTTTATTTTACCACAGAATAAAAAGTTAAAAGTTATTTAAAATATATGTAAACAGTCGTACTTTTTAGTAACATTGTTTTTTACTGTTTTACAGAGGCAGTGAAACTGTCCTTTCAAGGAAAAGATCAAGTCCAGGGAAATAACTGACAAAGCCATAGGACAAGCCTGTCAAGATTGGCTCAAATTATCAAAGCAATGATTCAATGATGTTAAAACTTAACATTTGTTTAATTAGTTATTTTAAAATAATAAATAATTATTTATGAAAATATATTCGTTTGTCATCTGCTCAGTTTCTTTTTAAACTTTTTTTTTACCTTGGAGTTACTACTACACTTAGGTAAGTTTTTGCAAATCTGGAAAGAATATGCCTCACTTAAATTAAATGCAAAGAATAAATATAGTAAATTTTACTGTAATTTTAATTATCAATGCATTGATAACCGTAAAACCATGCATGGTTTTACGATTTTAATTTAATGAAAATGGAATTATTAGAGCTAAAAATATTAAAAAATCATTCAAATGTAAAAACTTTTGTTTTTATTTTCTTTTTCCAGATTAGCAGAGCCGCGGCCTAAACAATAATGTTATGTAAAAAATTTCACCTTAAAATAATATTCAATATTAACGTAGGTATATCGTTTATGGCTTTTAGAAGTTTTTGATAAACGTTTAATTTTGGTATATTATATATTAAAATGTAACCTTTATAAAAAACATATATTTAATTGTCAAGTTTGTATTATAAATAAACGTATAGTGTAGACGTTTAAAATATGGATATTGCTATAATATGCATCAACCTATATTAGGCGGACATTTTAACCTATATTAGAGGTAGACAATAAACCAATGATATACCATTGGTATAGACAAATATTAAACGTCTATTAGACGATTTTGTGTTGCTTGGGCTGTTATCCAAAAATTTAGCTTTAAAGATACAGCCAGCAGACGCATTTCATTTGAAACTGATCCGATTTATATCCTCTTTGTATGGTAATTTACTGATACCTCGTAATGTTGTTCAACTAGTAGTTGACGAGATCAAAAGGTTGTTATCTCCTTCGCTCAATCAAATTTTTTTGGCCAAAATAAGACACTTACTTCCAGAATCGGTGTATTTGGAAATTTTAAAAGCTCTTCCAACAGATGCAAATATTTTTGATGAAGACTTCAAACAATTTTCTTCTGAACATCTAAGATTAAAACTTCTTGTCCAAAATAAAACACTTGTTTTACCCAATGAAATACCTCTAGGTGACTCTTTGAAAACTAAACGAGCTGGTCGATTAGTACAACTTAAACATTCGATGCAAGTTATCGAATTAGGGGAAGTATTTCAACGTTTTTTTAATGTACCAGGAGTGTTTAAGGCCATGTGGACGCACAAAAATAAAATGATGGAGTCCGCACGTTGTGGTGCACTGACTAGCATAGTTCAGGGCCGGGTGTGGCAAAATATGTTGCAGAAGTTCCCCGAAGGTGAGGGTGAGGGAGTCTGGAATGTTCCGATCCTGATATATTGGGACGATTGGGAATTAGGAAACCCAAATGGTCCTGTGGCTGGGCGACATAAGTTAGGAGCGATATATGTTAGCCTTGCTTGCTTACCAGACTATTTGCATAGTAATTTAAAAAATATTTTTTTGTTTGGTCTTTTTCATTCTTCTGATCGAGTAAAATTCGGAAATTCAATGATATTCGATCCTATAATACGCCAATTAAATGAACTTTCAACAAAAGGTGTGTGGGTTAGTAATGAACTTTTTACTGGTACCATTCGATTTCATGTTTGCGCTCTAGTTGCGGATAACTTAGCTCTCAATGGCTTGCTGGGATTCACTGAATCATTTTCAGCTAATCATCCATGCCGCCTTTGTAAGGTAGGCAAAGCTGAACTTCGAACGTCCCTCAGGATAGATACCACGTTGTTAAGGGATATAGATTCCTATCATGAGGATCTAGGTTCAAATAGTTTATACAATACGGGTATTAAAGAAAGATGTTGCTTTTTAGATGTATGTGGGTTTAATCCGTTTAAAAATACTTGCCAAGATCTATTACATGATTGGGCGCACGGTGTTGCTAAAACTAGTATGCATTTTATAATTAATTACTTAGTAAAAAAAGAGAAGCTTATTCCTTTAGAACTTTTTAAATTAAAAATAAGTAATTTTGACTACGGTTGTGATAATGATACTAAACCTAATGCTTCTATTGTTAAAGATGGTACTGAGTTAAAAATTAAACTTAGTGCTTCCCAGATGATAACTTTTATTCGATATTTCTCTTTAATTTACGGTACTTATGTCCCACAACAACATACCGTTTGGAGCTTTTTCTTGCTGGTCAGGAAAGTTCAAGACAGGTTGATGAATCGAAGGGTCTTTAAAGATACTTGTAGCCTATTTATTGAAGATATAGCGGAGTTAAACAGGCTTTATATGGAACTAACCAAACAATCTTTAAAACCAAAAAATCATTTCATTGAACACTACCCTGAACTCATGTTAGACTTCGGTCCTTTAGTGTATTTATCTACCTTTAAATTTGAGGCTCGTCATAGATTGCTAAAAATGTTTGGCACATCGGCTGCTGGTAGAATTAATATTTGTAAAACAATTGCACTTAAAAATCAGTTGATGATGAATGACATATTTTTAAATCAAAAGAAAATTCCTCATATAATATACGGTAAGCAAAGTATTTTATCAGATGACGATTTTGAGATCGTTAAACAATTTTCTCCTTCCCTTTCACAATGCCTAGACTTAAAAAAGGTTCCTTGGGTTAAGATTAATTCAACTATTTTTAAAACCTCCTATAACATAACTCTTGAAATAAATGAGGACGACTTACTTCCTATATTCGCTGACATTAGGCAAATATATATTGATAAAAGGTGCAATGTCTACTTTTTGTGTAACGCCTACGAAACTCTGTATTTTGATGATCATATTTATGCATACAATATTGTAAAGAAAGAAGATTTGCGAATTGTTCCTTATAGAGACTTAGCAGGTCTAGTACCAAACACTTTAACTGTAGTTCATCCCCCACTACGTTTGTATGTAACAATGAGATACCCCCTAGATTAACACTTTTGTTCTACCCACATAAATATGCTTTCATTTTCTAGTTTAGGTTTAGATCAGGTTTCTAATTTAGTTCGATTTAGTTTAGATCGAATATATGTAGATATTAGAAAATATCGTTTAGTTAGCTTTTAATTCAAGACTTTTGTATTTGTATTAGAATTAAGATGTATATTTTTATGTTTGTAATAAATATCTTGTTTATTTCTAAATTTGTATAAAAACTTTTGGGACACACTATGCAATGTACATATTATTGTATTTTTGTGTACTTGTACGTGTTTTTGTGTACGTATTGTTACAATAAATTTCTTGTTTATTTATCCAAGTTTCAGTTTTTTTTAAATTTCTTCGTTTACCCCTGGGGTTTTATGGTATATCTTCGATTCAGATATCTATAATGCAGATAGTTCAAGCCTACATCGCGAGTTTCTTTACATGAACTTTGGAGGTGCTACTTAATGCTCTAAACTCTAAACCAACCCTTA